TATATATTGTTAACAACTATATAAATTAATCAAGCCTAAAATTAAAATATCTTTGGTATTAAAATATTTTATGAATAAATTGGAAAAAAAATAATTACTAAAACTGAACAAAATAATCAATAAATTGAACCGGACCCAAAATCAAATTAATTTTTCGAAAAACCAGATGAAAAATCCATAAACCAATTGAAAACCAAAGCTAAAACCACGATTTAAAACAAATCAAACTCGAATCGACCCCGAAAACCCCATCCACCAATTAGAAAAATTCTAGAAAAAAAAAAAAAAAAAAAAAAGAAAGAAAAGAGAAACGAGAAGAGAGACTTAGTGGCCTCTCTCTCGCTCTTCTCTCTCAACAACCCCCCTCCCCTCTTCTTCTCGTTCTCTGACCACCGGCCACCAAATCCGGTAAATAAATACTCTAAAAATATCTACTCATCGCAAGGAGTATGATTCAAGCCTTGGTTTGTGCGATTTGAGCCCGGATTGAGAGAAAATTCAATCGAAAGGTGCGACGCCATAGTAGCAATTCTTTCGGCCATTCACGCCATTTCCGGCGACCTGAGGCTTCAAGGTAGGTGCCGATCGACTCCTCTCTTCTCCTTCTTTCATTTGACTGTTACGGTGTTGAGTATGGTGGCCGGAATCGGAAAACCCAAAGTGGGTACCACCGAACATTTCCGGCCAAACCTTTCCGGTCAATTTTCGGCCAAATAGTTCACACCCACCTTGATTTGAATCAAACGAGCCACTGGCTCAACAAATTGATGGTAGATTTGGACTCCTCACGAAAATTGGAGTCGGGTGGTGGTAACCTTGCAATTTTCTGGGCATCCGCGACTTTCCGGCCACCGTGCACGGCGGAGGAGGCGGTCCGGTGACCGGCCGGCGAGACTCCAAGAGGCAGAATGATCTCCTCTTCGCGCAGATCACGGAAATGCAATCTGTACACTCTAAGGCTCAATTCGCAATTTTCAAATAAATCCCGAATTTAATGAATGAATGAATTATTGGAGTATTTAAGTGGATTAAATTGAATATTATCAAATGTAGTTCATGAATATTAGTTATAATTATTAATAATAACTAATAAGGTTGGGTAAAAAAAAAAATATATAATTATATATATATATTCCTAGCTAATAAATAAAATTTTAGGATTTTATTAACAATAAATAGTTATCAGAACAATTAATTATAATGGATAGGTGAATTAAAGTGACCGACATAAATGACGGTTTGACGGCACGGGATTAGTGATTATGAAAGTTGCCCCGATGGATGGAACTGTGTGTTTGTGGATTTGTGAAAATTTGAAAAATTTGGATAGTCCAAGTTTATAAGAGGAACTTAATGAAGAATTAAATTAGTTATATTCTTAAGAAGTAGTGACGACAAAAATTTGAAGTATTAAGAAATATTATACAATATTAGAATTATCATTATACAATATTTCTCACCGAATAATTAGAGATTTTATCTAAAGGTTATAAATTAGAATAGTTATTTATATAAATGAGAGAACCTAAATATATATGCTATATAACAAGTGAATTAAATGACTGGTAGCCAAAATAAATAAACGAATGTGAAATATAAGTTTTTGAATTAAAATTCTTATTTAGAATTTTCTTGTTTATTTTAAAGGTTTATAAAATACTATAAAATACAAAATGCGAGACAAAAGCGGAAGGCATGTGGCTAAAAAAGGCAGTCCCTTGTAAAAGGACAATAAAGAACCTGTGAGTAGTGTTGATAACTAAGTACCATCCAGCCTGCATTCATGCATTCACGGCTAAATGTTATCAATGCTTAATTTATTGAGTTGGCCAATATTATGATGCACATTTGTTGATATTAAAAATTGTTTGATTACTTGTGCTTGAACATACTATGCCGTTTGTGTGGAATTGGGATGAAGTGGACCACACATGGGTTTTGTGAGGACGGTCCATGTGATTAATGGATCCAAAATATGAATGATATGAATATTTGACCGTCGGCCGGGAAAATGGGAGATCGGCGCCCCCGTGTGCACCTGATGAATATGGATTGTAAGGTAACCACAGGATGGCTTCTTGGTTGTTGCGCACTCTGATAATCCTAAGATTTGATTGTAGCCTCGCAGGGTGGCCCTCCTGTTTGAGCACTTTGAGATCTAGATTGGATGAGGACCAGACCGGGGTTTGCCCCGTCCTGTTTGTATGTGAAAAGAAAAGAAGAGAATGAAAAAAAAAACAATGAGAGGACTGGTCAGTGAGGATTAGCCAGTTGGCCGTAATGCGGGGATCGGCTCCTGGTGCACATGTATGAGAGGGCGAGCCCATGTGTGAGGAACGGCTCGTTGGGGGTTCAGGTGGTGCCACTGAACTAATTTCCACGTGATGTGATTATAATGAATGGTTGATAATACTGTGATTGCTGTTGTATTGCCCATTTGTGTGACAAATTTGCATGATCAAATATAATTAAATGGTGTCCAATCAGAAATATTTTTAGCATCTGTGTGATATGGTGTGGGGTGAAGGGTATTCTAACCCTACTCATTGAGTTTTGGCGCTCACCCCTGCCTACTATTTTTTTTCAGGAATAGAAGAAAGGAGCCCTATGGAGTTGAAATACGTATTATAGAAGAAACTGTTAATGACAGAAATAAAATATGTAAATTGTAAAGGTAGAGTTCCCGCAATTGTATTCAGTTGGGTTGTAGAGTGCATAATAAAGTCCAGATTTAATATATGAACTGTATTTTGGATGCAATATGTATAATAAGATTAATGGGCCTTATCCATAAATTATGGAATAGAATGTGGAACTAAATGAGTTAGGCCTTACACGGGCTTCGGGGGCCTTAAGCCCAACCCGCAGGTCCCTAGTGCCGCGGTCCGGTCCATGGAAATGGGTTCGTGACAGAGATAGAGTACGGATAAGGAATTACTCTGATTTGCCAAAATCCAATGTGGAACTTAAATGAGTTAGGCTTACTACGGGCTTCGGGGGCCTTAAGCCCACCCAGGTCCTAGTGCCGGTCCGGTCCATGGAAATGGGTCGTGACAGAGATAGAGTACGGATAAGGAATTAACTCTGTATTTGCCAAAATCCATAGAAAATTAAATGTATCCATTGCTGAAATTCTATCCATATATGATATATTCTGTCCTATTTAGGAAAATCTTAGTATTTCAATATTATTTTAGGTTTAACATTGATAAATATGACTATCACATTTGGAAAGAAATATATTTTATTCTTTTATATTAAAAAAAAAGGTAATTATAGAAAAAGATCATGAAAAATAAATAATATCGCATTATTTCAGCATATTATCAATATTTTAAGAAATGTGTAATCTGTAAAATAAATAATGCATCATTAAAATAAATTTTATTTTATTTTTTTGTTGGTAAATTAAAGAGCTAGAAGATAATCTAGAAAAAGGTAGTCTCCCTAACAAAAACTTTTCTCACTTTTGGATAACATTATCTGTATCAATAATTTAATGCTAAAATTAACTAATTGTAACGATTGAATATGATGCTATTTATTTAAAAATTTAAAAATATTATTTATATTAATTCTTATATTATCATATGAAGTTGTGTTATTTATTTGGTTATAATTTTTTTAAATGCATTATATAAATAATTGTACAGGTTATAGCCTTAGAGAAATACATATAATTAACAATTCAGTACCAAAAAGTATTTAGACAAATTGCATTGCTTTTTTAATTTATTTTTATTTTTCCAAAATTGCAACAGAAAGTAAAGTTGGAAAAACTGATTAGTCAATGATTAATATTATTATAATTATAATTTATTCAATAATAAGATACTATAGGGCAAACTAAAATATCAAAGTTAGAATTCATACTTATAATAATATAATTAAATTAAAAAACTGATTAGTCAGTTCTAAAAAATTATTTTACAATGTGAAAAAATTTCGTGGTTGCAAGACAATAAAACTATGTGAAAAAATAATTATATTTTAGTATGTAAATACATTTTGACTTACATAACATCTTAAGAAATGAAAAGAATACATTTTTATTTCAATTTCATCCTCAATTGCAATTAAGGAAGTAGAGTTTCAAGAAAGAAAGGTTAGAAAAGTCAAATTATTATTTTTGGATACCAATAATTTTTTTAGAAAAATAAAGTAATTAAAAGCATTAACGTCATCTTTATTTTTTAAAATTATTTTATTTTTAAAATACTTTACCATATATAGAGAAAAATATAGATGAGGTCCACATATTTAGAAATTGGATTTAAAAAAAAGATTGAGGTAATATATTTTTCTTATTATCCACAATGTGAATTAATATTAATATAATTGACAATATGCATGTAAATGGTAAACATATCGACTCTACAGATCCCGTGAATAAGCATTAATTGAGGAATCAGAAAAATTATTGCAATTTAATAAATATTACTGACTTTCTATGTTTTAAATATTTTTAATATTTTCCCAAAGGATTTCCTTGAACAAAATAAAAAATAAAAAGAAAACTAGTTGGGACAAAACTCTTGCAGTCTTGCACAAACATATCCAAACATCCAATTAAGGATTTTGTTTTTTCCCCCTAGATTTTGGTTTCATCAACTTTTTTCACTTGCCAATGTTTAATTTTCACCTGGAACTCTAAAACTAATTAATAAAAAAAATAAAATCCTTAAATGGAAATTTAATTAAGATTTTATCTTCCAGTCTACAAATATGTAGTTTAGGACTAGAATGATTCTTGAACGCTGCATTTCCATTCCCCATTTAAGAGAAAGGCAAGAACTTTAGATGCATGTTCAGAAGAATTAGCTGGTCCACAGATCATCTGTAAAGGTAGAAACTTTTCTTTATTTTTCTTTTAAAGACATGAAAAGTTTGTGTAGACATTGCCTTCTTTCTCCTCTTTTCTTTCTCTTTTTGAGCCTTCTTTGTTTAAAAATTATTTAAGCTACCAAATGTAACCATTTCTTAGTTCTTCGTGGCATCCCAGTTTTTGGGATGAAGAATAATTGCCTTTTATATTTTTATTATTGCTATTTTTAGATTATAAAATTTATAATATGGCTTGCCTTGATTATATTTTTATGGCTGTTGTCCTTGTCTTGTGATTAGTTTGAGTAATCACTGTCATTGCAAATGCTGCTGTTTGGCAAGCAAATATGTGAAAGAAAAATTCAAAAGAAAGAGATCAATCCTTTTTTTGCTTTCAGCATCTAGTGTTTGATCAATCTGAAGCTCTAGATTAATTAATCATCTTGGTATCTTTATGGAATTGTTTATGGGATTTTGGTGTTAATGGAGTATTAGTCAAGGGAATTTCACTGTCATATAATTTTTGTTTTACCTTTTCCTATTAGGACAAATCTATTGATTTTTTTTTTTTTTTTAATTTTTGGTTCTACATCTTTATGGTTCATTCTTGTGCCAGTTAAAAATGGCTGTCTGCTTCATTCTTGAAAAAAAGAAAAGCTTTTAAATTTTTTGGTTTGATATATATTTTATTCTTTATGTTTTTGAATACATAATTGATGACTCTGTTTCTGAATGTTTCCCTGCAGATTGTTCTTGAATTCACCAGGAGTTCCTCTGCTCAATTTTATTTTCTGCAATTAGCATCTCTGACAGCCGGAAAAAATGGTGGAAGGGGGTATTGCAAAAGCAGACAAGACGGAGTTTACAGAGTGCTGGCGGATGGCCTGGAAAACTCCATATATTATGAGGCTTGCACTATCAGCTGGTATTGGAGGGTTTCTGTTCGGTTATGATACAGGTTAACTGTTTGATAGCCAATCCTCTCGTCTCTTAAATATGTTTATTAATAATAATCTAATTGTTTTGTGTTTTATGAAGCTAACTTTGTTTATTGATTTGGATTTAGGAGTTATTTCCGGTGCTTTGCTATACATCCGTGAGGATTTCGAATCTGTAAACCAGAAAACATGGCTACAGGTTTGCTACCATAACTACATTTTATACTGAATTTTCAGAAAAGAGGAGCAAATATTTTAAATATTTCATTTCTTAATGAGCAGGAGACCATTGTGAGTATGGCTGTTGCCGGAGCTATTGTTGGAGCTGCTTGTGGTGGATTTATTAATGATAAGTTTGGAAGAAAGTTATCTATTTTATGTGCAGATGTTGTATTTTTTGTTGGTGCTATAATCATGGCTATCGCTCCTGCTCCCTGGGTTATAATTGTGGGAAGACTTCTTGTTGGCTTGGGAGTTGGAATGGCATCAATGACATCTCCTCTTTACATTTCAGAGGCCTCACCAGCAAGAATTCGAGGGGCTCTTGTTAGCACAAATGGTTTGCTAATTACTTCGGGCCAATTTTTATCTTACCTGATCAATCTTGCCTTCACCAGGGTAATGAAAATGAAATCTACTTGTTTCTTTGAAATTATGAACTTCTAAATTGTACTAATATATTGCAAAATGGGCAGGCTAATGGCACTTGGCGCTGGATGCTTGGGGTAGCTAGCGTGCCGGCACTTATTCAGTTCGTGCTGATGCTATCACTTCCTGAGTCCCCTAGATGGCTCTATAGACAGGTTCTAAATTAGTCTTTCAACAATATTTTTCCCTTTATATCATTGCATCTCTTTATTTAGGGCAAGGAAAATACAGTATAATGTGCTTTTCGTATAGGAGATTGTTCTGTGTCACTGCTAATATGGTCTTGAATGATAGTTCTAACTATTAGCTTGATAATAATAGTTATATCAGTTCAATCAGTTTTTTCATGCAAGATAATAATTAATTTTCCTCTTTCATCAGAACAAGGAGAAGGAAGCGAGGGCAATCTTGGAGAGAACATATTCTGCTGATGAAGTTGAAATTGAGATGAAGGCCTTGGCTGCATCTGTTCAAGCAGAAAAGGCAGATGAAGCAGCTATAGGGGATAGCCTAATGGCTAAACTAAAAAGTGCATTTTCAAACACCGTAGTCCGCAGGGGACTCTATGCAGGCATTACAGTTCAAGTTGCTCAGCAGTTTGTGGGTATAAACACAGTCATGTACTATTCCCCAACAATAGTCCAGTTTGCCGGATTTGCTTCAAACTCAGTGGCATTGGCACTCTCTCTGATTACTTCTGGCCTCAATGCTTTGGGCACTGTTATCAGTATGGCTTTTATTGACAGATACGGAAGGAGAAGGCTAATGCTCGTTTCTATGGTTGGGGTCATAACTTTCCTTGTGGCCTTGTCTATTGTGTTTATGGAAGCTTCTGCGCATGCTCCTAAGATCAGTTCAATTGACACTGCACATTTTGGTGCAAACTCTACTTGTCCAACATATTTGAAAGCAACTGATGCATCAAAATGGAACTGCATGTCTTGTTTGAAAGTAGATTGTGCTTTCTGTTCAAATAAAGCCAGTGAAGTAAGTATAGTTGTATAATCGCATTGTTTGGTCAAAATAATCTAAAAATTTGAGAACTAGCAACCAATGCACTTTTTGATTTTGACTGACTCAAGTTTTTCTGCTATCAGTACCATCCTGGAGCCTGCGTGGATTCAACCAAGGCCATGAAAAGTGCATGTGGAGCAGAACATCGTGTGTTTTTCGAGAAAGGTTGCCCCAGTAAGTTTGGATTTCTTGCTATTGTACTTCTTGCACTCTATATAATTTCGTATGCACCTGGAATGGGTACTGTACCATGGATAGTCAACTCCGAAATATACCCATTACGGTATAGAGGCATTTGTGGAGGGATAGCTGCAGTGACAAACTGGAGTTCAAATCTTTTAGTGAGCGAAACTTATTTAACTCTAACCGAGCATCTTGGCGCTGGGGGCACATTTTTGCTATTTGCTGGGATTTCTTGCATTGGACTTGCATGCATTTTCTGGTTTGTACCCGAAACAAAAGGCCTACAATTTGAGGAGGTAGAGAAGATCCTAGAGGCTGGCTACAGACCAGATTTATGCGGAGGAAGTGGAACAAGGAGGAAGAACGAAGATTCTGCTTAAAGCTCAAGAAACTTGAAGGATTTCCTATGTAGTATACAAATATAACCTTTTGCTAATAAAGGTAGGACATTTGAATCCTATTGCTCCCAGCAAGTCAATATTGCTTTGGTGTAACTAGAGTCACATTTTATGAGCAATGAGTGAAAGATTCATGAAAGTTCTGGTTGTGTTTTAAGTTCATACCTTGTAAGTTTCTTGATGGCATTTAATAGAAAAGAACTTTCTCTACCCATTATTGCATTTTGATTAATTCCCAGGAAGTGCATACGGTGGAAAGGGTACGACAAAAGTAGTGCCTTCTGTAAAACTATTTACAGAAATAATGCTGAGCCTGCAGTGTTAGGTGGTTGAGATTTTATTAGAAACGTTTTATACTAAGATTTTTGGCACCAAGAAACTACTGCTGTGTTTTCCGTTGCTGTGATATTTTCTACTGTCACTTTTAACTTTTGTTATCTGATATTTTGTAGAAGGCTCCCGTTTTTGCCGTAAGATTCTATAACTATGTACTTCGTATAAAACCAAAAAAGCAAGGGCTCAATACCTGTTTTTTAGGTTCTACAATTCATCCCTGTAGTTTGAACTTTTAATTTGACCAGTTAAACACTTCAACTTATAATATTGGATATTTTATTTGATCCATTGAATACCTCAATTTGTAAAATTAGATTGATTAAATACTTATTGAATAGTTAAAAAATATTATTTCAAAAGTTGTATTAAACAAATATAAAATCAATATTTTGCATATAAAAACTAAAAAAACTTAAAATTGTTATTTTTATTATATGGAAGTGTGAGATTATTATAAGAAGGGAAGTTCAAGGTACCACAACGTTGATTTAAAAGTTAGAGTACCACAATATTTTTCTTTTCTCAAAATTAAAGAGTTAAATTATGCATTCGGCCAAAGATTAACGGAAAAGTTTATTTTATATGGTTCTTCATTCTAATTCTTTAGTTCAAGCTAATATGTCAATTAAAGAAACAAATTCAGTGTCGGAGAAAAAAAAAATGTAAGGAAGAGAGAACCATTTCTTAGATCTTACAAAAGATCATGTTGATACTAATGGCAGGATTTGATGTTCATGTAAAAAGTGTATAAATTATTACTTTAAAAAATTAATAGAGGTGAAGCAAGGGTTATTTTTTTATGGGTTTGTTGAGAATTATACTCAATGGACATATGACGATGAGTCTTATCAATGAAATACTAGCACTCATTTAGATGATTCACTTGATGATGATAATCTTAATATTCCAAATTAAGGTAAACATGAAGATGTGTTAAACATGTATATGAGGACTTAAAAATTCTAATTTTGTAGAGTTGAATTCTAATAACCTTATACTTAACAAGCTGTAATATCGCGCTTCGTGCGCAAGGAAATAAAAATAATTAGAAATATTTTATGATATGTGTAATGATCTTACAATTGATTCAAGTTCGAATCCTCATTCTCCATACCCAATACAAAAAAAAAATAAAAAATAAAATAAAATAAATAAATAAAAGTATGAGTAGTGAACTCTTTTCATAATTTCATTAATCGTAAGTGTAATATTGGTCACCATAAGATGATACATCGAAAAAAGTAGATAGAATCTATTAGATGCTTTTAATTTTCTCCCAAGAAAAATATGCAAAAATAGAAGTTAAAGTGTAAAGAGAATTTCCCTTTTATCTTTTGTATATCATTACCGACATCAATCTACAAGTCAAAATAAATATCAAATTAAACATGTCATTTATAAAACAAACCAACTTCATATAGAAAAAATACGTCATTGTAATGCTACTCTAATAAATAATAAAATCACCATTTGCAGGTAGAGGATAATGCTTTAAGATTAAAGCAAAGATTGAAGAAAGGGTGAAAAATAGATAATTTGAACAAATAAAACCAGCAGCATCCAGATTGCAATTATCTAATATTTCTATTTACTTTCAACAATATTTAAGTGGTAATTTTAATTATATATAGGCTCAGCTCTCTTCAATTTGTAAATTTTTTACATGAACTGAGTCTACATATTAGTCAATCATCTATTGAGATATGAACTCTAAAACTTTGATGAAGGTTCTTCAACTACTAAACCATATAGATTCAGAACACTTACCGAGAACCTATTGTACATGCATATCAAGTTGAAACTATCTCAAAGTATCTTACAACGAAATTTTATATATACATCATTTGTTTCAGATGCAGAAATTGCAAAATATTCAATTTATATCACGGATTGAGTCTCCATGCAGAAATTGTTTTCAATATATATTGCAGACTGAAGTCACCAAAAATAGTCTGAGTCGTTGGAGATAGTGAAGAACGGTTATTGTATTATTCAACACAATTAAAATTCAAATGAAATTAAAAGCTAATAAAACACCATCCAAAATAAAAATTATGCAATAAATGAATTCAATTCAAAATTGCAAAATATAAAATAAAATAAAATTCCCAATCCAAAAGGTAGATAAAAAGAAAAATTAAATTCCGAATCTAAGAGGAGAAGGTAAACAAATCAAAATTTTTGAATAGAAACAAAAAAATATGAGTTTTCTGTAAGTAACCTCATAGGTCTACCAAGTAAATGCATATTCTTAGATTTAGTCTTATTGAACAACACTACTAAAAATTTTTGATTAGAAATAAAACAATTAAGTTTTTTGTGAGTAACCTCATAGGTCTACCAAGTAGGTTTTTATAATTTTGTATATAAAGAAGAGTTGTTTCTAATACTTTTTTTTTTCTAATTTCCTAAAAAAAAAGTCTACGAAAGAATTCAATTAAGTAAAATCATCTTGTCATTCATTATTGAAGGACCTCTCACTTCTGATATCTTCAACTCTTGTCACTAAAAACCTTTCCCGATTGACAGAACGCTATATTCTTAGATTAGTCATATTGAATAACACAAATAAAAAAAATCCAAGGTCATTGGCAGGAATTGTTTATAATCGAATATATTTAGCTTTTAGCACAAGTAGATCAAGATTTTTATTTTCCTTCCATCACATTGTTAGCCAATTTTGCAACTGATGAATATGTTCCGAAGCAGGCAGCAAGCATGCCCACTGTAATGGTGAAAATGCAAGCTGCAATCTGATAGTCAATCATGTACTTGGCTTTACGGATATAAATTAGTATTTGAAAATATAATGAGAATGAGGTAAAGGTAAAGGATTTTCACCTACAATTTGGTCAGCCTTTCACAAAGCATTAGATTTGAGCTCTAATATCACATGCTGGTCCAAAACATTAATAAGAGTTAGGGAAGAGTATATTATCAGAATATGTAAATTTAAATTTGGCAAAACCTAATGCATATGACAAATAATAATTATTTAGATTATATATGATTTTCTTATGCTAAAGGCAATATTTTGACACTCTAAGAATTTGATACAAATATGTCTACATATGCAAAAAAAAAAAAAAAAATTGTTATTTTGTAAAGAGACCTTGATCTGAAAGCAATTTACAAAATGAGAACAATCCATTTTAAAAAGTAAATTGAATTTTCGTTTCATAATAAGTTTTTATACTTTATTTACTTTGATTTTTATGTTAAAATAGCACGAACACCTTTAATTGTAGTTGTACACTTTAAATGAGAAATTAAAAATATATACTTTGAATATTTTGAGAATGAGTTCATATGATAGTTGTAGGACACTAGAACTTGCTCGTAGAGGCTTGCTAAGATCACATGACTTTAGCTACATGTCTAGGAATGAGAAAGACATCTAGGATTAACCATTTAGCTTAAAGAGAGCCTACCTTGTATAAGCTAACCCATAGAAATCTCTTGTGAGATTAAATAAACTAATCTTTTTTTTATCATCTTACAAATAACCTAAACTTTATTTATTTATTTTTTTCTATTTTGCTACCCTCCTAAGAAGTAAGAAGAGTAAGGAAGTTGTTAAAAGTTGTTTTAGGGAGATTTTCGAAAATAAGTGTCAAATTTTGTGGATACTTATAATATGAGCTTTATAAAGTTTAATAAAAAAAAAAAGAAAAAATGCTAGAAAAAAAAGAAGGAATAAATGGGGAAAACTTATATGAATAAGCTTAGAAGTTAAAAGTTTTTCCTAAGAACTTAAAGACTTTCATATTAGGATTATGCTAAATTTTCCTTTGCAGCAAACCTTCACTTTAACCCCTTTATAATCAAATAAAAGACCTTTAGACCTAGTTGTGTCTAATTAAATTGGTGCAGGTTATATAACAAGCAAGCTTATGGATGTTGTACTTGAATAGTGAGCGATATGTGCATTAAATCATCAACTTTGTAAAGACTTCAGTATAATTGTGAGTTGGTGAGACTAGACTATATAGGTGTGTAAAGTTATTTCAATTTGAATAACTTAGTAAGTTGTGAATTTGAAATTTTGATTTGGAATGCATGGATCTAATAATTTACTTCTTTGACAATGAGTTATATATTAAGATTGCATGTACATTGTACTTTTAGGAAGCCAAATAAAGTATATGTTTTAGTTTTTATTTCTTATTTCATTTTTGTTTTACTTAAGGATAAAAAAGCGTTTAAGTGTAGAGGAATTGTTGTGACCTTATTGCTATAGTATTTTTTTAAAGTTTATTTTAAGTATTTTAGTTCTTAATTTTGTTTATGTTAGTTATTTTTGTTTATTTATTTATATTTTGTGGTTTTGAGTCAAGTATAGTGGAATCTAACTAATGTGTGCTAAAAAGTTATTAAGTGTTGTGTTTCTCAAATAGATGCGAAAACACTTGTTATTGAAGCAATTCTGACCTCAATATGATTTACCAAAGAGAGCAACACGGTTGTGTTGAATTTGAGCACAACTTCCATTGGGTTACATGACCTATGATAGGTCTATACTGAAGGTCGTGTTAAGATCACAACATCAAGTCATTGGGTTAACATATACGTGTTATCAGACGTGTCGTGTTAAGACCAAAGTTTCATTTTTCTTATCTCATCATCAAGTTGAAACATCAGTGTGAAGAACACCCGTGTTCTCTAAAATTTTAAAATATTTTCAATTAAAGAAGATTGTGAAACACGTTTGCTTTTCAAATTTTAAATAGAGTTGTTAGAAAGGAGAGTTATAAGGAGGGAGAACAAGATATCACAAGGGGGTAAACTTAGACTTCATTCTTCATTACAAAGAGAAAAACATCAAGAGGAAATATCACAAAAATGCAAATTAGAGCCAATTGAAAGAAGCGGTCCC